GGCGGCGCGAGAGAGGGGAGCGCGGCTCGGGCAGGGGCTGAGTGCGCTCCGGGCAGGAAAAAAAAAACGGTGGGCCCTAGGAACAGTTCCCACGGGGGAACCTGCTCGATACCATGAGAAGAAACAAGGGATGAATGAACTATGAATGAATTGGGTACAAGTAATAACCCTAATTGGGTTGTACCCCTTATGGGCTACCCCACTATAGCCTACACAATATGCATGAGCTATAATGTTCTGACATAATATGCTGCCACCACGGTTATGATGGGCTTGGAGCAGAGAATATATTTATGGCATTTGATATACATGGTTTTATATGGACCGAAAATATAATAGAACTAATGGTAGTATATGCGCGCTCATATTGGTTGTTGGGCGACCCTTTATCGCCTAAATATATGGTCGTGAATTATATGACCGTGCGTGATTGGACGCGCATTGCCAAAAAGGGCAAGAAGCATATTATCGACCAATCGTGCGCGGTCAATAATATGTTCGTGCATTTATGCTCTGGCGTTGCAGTTTATGATCGCTGATGTAATTGCCCGCGCGCTCATTGGTCGCGCATTGGGCCGAAAATGACCGCGCATCTACTGTTGTGCGAACGAGGAATTTCGGGGGTATGAACCCTTGTAGGGTTATGTGCCAGGGAAAAAAAACACCTCGAAAATGCCCTGGCATGGCCACTCGAGCAATTATCACGGAATTGGATGGCCACTCGAGCAATTCGGGGACACGTGGGCAAGAGCGAATCACCAAACAAGGCACTGGAGCAATTCTCTCGTTTTGCAGTCTCATCTTCCTGATATCAACGCCCAGAACAGCCAAGGACGCGGTAAAAGTGAAGGATCAATCGCCTCAGGATCGTTTTCTAACGCGGTTGTGTAGGGTTGTGTACTTTTTGTATGCGAATAGCAGGATTTTAGTGCGGTGGCCGGATCGATATTCCCCCAATCGAGCACTTTTACCGCGTCCTAAACCCGTAGATCGCCTCTCTGTAGCCAGTTAGGTATTGAAATTGCTAGATAGTCGATAGCCGGTTAGTTTTAGGCTCCTCGCGTCGTTCAGAAGCGGGTTTCTCGGCAATGGCGATGGAGGATTCGAAGAAGCGCAAAGCGGAAGGAAAGGATGGCAACGGCGCGTCGGGCTCGGATCGCTACCACCACAGGGTCGAGGAACTGCCCGCGGCGCTGACGGCGCATCAGGCGCGCATGCTCGTGGACGTCATGAAGGACGGCGACGTTCGCGAAGCGCTCGTGAGCGCGGCGATGTCGCACAGCGCCGTCGCCGACGCGATCATGGAGGTGGTGGGTCGCGACTCGCAGCAGCGGCGAATCTTCGTGCGCGGGCTCGACTTCAACACCACCAACGAGACGCTTCGCCGAATCTTCGTGTCCTTCGGCGACGTGGAGGACCTTCAGGTGGGGAGGATGGTGAGGGTGGGGGAAATGAGTTTAGGCGTTGAGAGGGCAGGGTTCAGGGCAGAGTCGTACTTTAAAAGGGCGGATTGAGTTTTGATTTTAGCAGGATCGGGTTATCGGTTCCACCCCGTCCCACGTTTCTCGAGTTTTTTGCGTAACCATTTCCCCCTCTACCCGCTTTCCCCGTCTCCCCCGCACTCCCTGGGTGCGCGCAGATCATTAAGGAGAAGGGGACGGGTCGCTCGCGCGGCTTTGGCTTCGTCACCTACCGCTCGCTGCGCGGCGCCATTCGCGCATTGGAGGAGCCCTCCAAGCTCGTCGACGGACGAATGGTCGTCTGCCAGCTGGCGACGCTCGGCCCGGGCGGCGGCTCGGCGAGCGCTGACGTGGCGGCGCGGAAGATCTTTGTCGGGAACGTCCACGTGGAGCTGTCGTCAGAGCAACTGCTGTCGTTCTTCTCGCAGTACGGAGATATCGAGGAGGGGCCGATCGGATTCGATAAGAGCACCAGGAAAAGCCGCGGGTACGCGATCTTCGTTTTTAAGACCGCGGAAGGTGCGCAGAATGTTCTGCAGGAGCCGAATAAGATCATTCACGGGCATCAAGTGTTTTGCAAGCTCGCCGGGGAAAACAGAGGCAAGCAGCAGCAACAGCAGCAGCAGCAGCAGCCGGGGTTAATGATGCTACCAGGGGTGGCGGAGGCGGAGCAGCAGCAGGGGTATCCGCAAATGGTGTTTTATGGGGGGGATGCGCAAGCCGCCGCTTACGCCGCATACGCGCAGCAGGCGCAGGCGCAGCAGTTCCAGGCGGTTCCGCAGCAGCAGCAGATGTATCAGGTGACGGACATGAACGCGCAGCAGGCGCAGGCGCAGGCTCAGGCTCAGGCGCAAGCGCAAGCGCAGGCACAGGCGCAGGCACAGGCGCAGGCGCAGGGGCAAGTTGCGCTGCAAGCGCAGTACTACCAGCAAGCGCCCGCCGCCGCCGCGTACCAGCAGCAGGTAGCTGGTTACCAGCAGCAGGCCGCAGCTGGTTACCAACAACAGGCCGCGGCTGGTTACCAGCAGCCCGCAGGTGGTTACCAGCAGGTCGCAGCTGGTTACCAGCAGCAGCCTGTGTACGTAACCACTGCTGTTGTCGCCCCAGCCCTCGCAGCCACCCCCGCCGCCCCCCAAGCGGCGCAAATGCAGCCTGCGCCTGCTGCGCCCGCCCCCCAGGGTTATCCCGCGCAAGCGGCGCCCGCGCAGGGCTACTATGCGCCGCAGGGGGCAGTGCCCGCGCAGGGGGGGTACGTGCAAGCGGGGGTTGCGCCGCAAGGGGGGGTTTATTACCCGCTGCAGGCACAGGCGCAGGGGCAGGCGCAGGGGCAGATGCAGGCGCAACAGGGGCAGCAGCAGGGCGGGAAAGGCGGTGTTGGGGAAGCTTCCCCCCAGCCTGGTGCAGCAGCAGCAGGTGGGGCTGCGGGGCGGCCTGGTTACCCGGTAACACCACAGCTGCAGGCCCAGCAGCAGCAGCAGCAACAGCAGCAGCAGGGGGCAGGGCAGCAGCAGCAGCAGGGGGTGGTGTATGCAGGATACTATGGCGCACAGTAGCTGCAGCTGTGCGTGACACCCTGTTAAAGACTGTGGGCTGTGCTCAAGGGTCGTCTGTTGCGTTGCTGCTTGGTCTGCTCGGTAGGTATTAGTCCATTGAGTTGGAGGCTGCTTCTGAGGCCTCAAAAGGGGGTGTTTTTGACTCCAGCAATGAATGTGTTGAAGGCTGGCGGGAGCGACTGCAGCATCTGGGAGGGGTGATTGATGGTGGTTGTCGGTGTTGCATGTGTCTACGCCCGCCCGTGTGTTTCTCTCTGTCATTTGCTGCTTCCATCTGCCACTGCCGCGTCCATGGAGGTTTGTGTTGGACTGCCACACGTTTACAGCCTTCCCTGAGCTCTTCCTCTCATTCCTAGCTCAGCTCCTCTCTCTCACCACGAACCATCTCGCTTCCATACAGACTCTGTTTCACCTTGCTTTCTCCAGTCTGCCTCTGCTCCTAGTCTCTGCCAGGCTCCTCTCTCTCTGTTTCGATTCCACTATCTTGCTGGCTCCTGGCACACTCAGTTGCTGGCTCAGTTTCCACTAGCAAGCTATCTCTCCTCACCTCTCACCTGCATCATTTCATCGCGTCCGGTAACTGATTCTGCCTCTCAGTTTGTTCCGGCTCTGTACGCTCCGCACCTCTTACCGCACATCTTTTCATCGCTCCTGAGTCTGCTTCTCAGTTTGTTGCGGCTTTTCACCGCACCTCTTACCTGCGTTCTGTCATCGCTTCCATCGCCGGCTCTCTGCAGTGGATTGTTCCACTCTCCCACAATCCTCTTTTTTTTTCTGATGCTGGTGCTATCATCTTACAGTCCCTCTCTTACTCTTTCCACCGGTAGCCTCATCATGACTTTCTCTCCGATGGGGCCTGCTTCCGTGTCCTGTCTGTTGAACCCTAGCCTGGTGCTAGGCATGTTTCACCTCTTCTCTGACAATTGACTGATTAGCCATGTTTAATAGTTCTTTTCCCTTTTCAACGTGCCATTTTTTTTTCTACTGATTTACTGGGAAATTGGTCGTGGTAAACCCCTTTGGGTTTCACTGAATTGTTGGTTCCATAACGTTTTCGTATTGCCATTGTGCTCATGTTGCAGTCTTCTTGTGCTTGTAATAGTCTACGTCTACTCTACCTCTTCATTCCCACTCCATGATTTTACCCATTCAAGGCGTACGTTGATCCCATGCTTTTGTGCTCGTTCGTTGGGTCATTTTTCACCAGAAATATTGGAGTCGTTTTTGGGCAGATAGCCCATTTACTGCTGTCCAGTGCAGTGTGAAAATTAACATGTGAAAGCCTGAACAAGCAGCAGGAAGACTACTGGTATCTCAGGAACTACACCAGCAAATTGCATACTCTTTTTTCAGACTGCAAACTGAAATTGTTACAGTAAATTGTTACACAAAGAATGGATAGAAATTGAAGTGAGGTCACAGAAAAGCAGCGTCACGCAGTAACCTACTAAAACGCACTGCACCGTGCACAACCCACGGGATTCTTCATGTTCTTACGCCGTGAGCATGTTTGTGTTACGAGTCATGCTGGGAGTAGATGTGTTATGGATTCACAGATTACGGCCTTGTGGTTTTTGTTATGGTTCAAAGCGGTAACTTGGAAACCTTAGAGGTTGGATTTTGACTCATGATTTCACCTTGCTGTTTCTGTGGGATTGTACAACGGTCATATTTCTTCTCTCCGACCCCAACAGTCATGCCATTTCTTTACTCGCTCATAAGCAGCACGGAATTTCATGATTCTTCATGATTCTGACGGAAAGAAGAGAAGCAATGGATTTTGAATTAGTCAGAGCCATTCACTGTTGCTGTCACGGCTGCTAAATACGTCTGCTTGTGCATTGGAACGTTTCAGTAGCTAAGCGGTCTACTCTATACCGACACTAATTTCTCTCGGGAGCGTTCAACCACCTGAACGAGCACTCATACCACAGTATCTTCCAGCCAAGCAGGCTGACAGCGTCAGATATTTGCGTCAGTGATGGCAATGGCACACAAAAACGCGATAGACGCGACGCTCTTCATTCTCGAACTGCATGTAAAGGTTCGTACTGTGCCATGTGCAGGATTTGAAGAGTAACAAGTTTTTTTCGAGATTATTGTGCAGCGATGGTTTGAATCTGGGTTGTTCAGCAATTTAACGACACTCATCAGCATTGTCGCCGATCGTAATCACCGGCAATGTGTATCTGGTCATGCAGCGACCAATATCTATCAAGCAATGTCAGTCCTTATTAACACCGATGTCATAAAGACCAACATTGTCTAAAATGGCTATTACTAACATCACCGACTCATGATCACGCAGCAATGTGAGCATGATGCTCAGCGATGTCTATGATAAGTATTGGCAACCTCTATCAAGAGCATCCGCAGTACCAACCCGGATCATCAGCAATGTCTTGGACCGTGCTCACGCGGCAGCAATTCTATTGTCAAACCTCATTCCCGTGCTCTCACATTCTGTATGTCCCGTTAATGATTCGCTGATGTTGGATTCGCTTTCTGGTCCCTCGTTCTGTGACAGGGACCCTCGCAGCTACAGCAGAACAAAGTCACTGACCTCATCCACATTTCCACTGACCGGCGTGATGATTCTGAATCTGTTGAAGTGTCTCTGCATTTTGAGAAGATTCTTGATCTGGTGCGTTCTTTGAGCACTTCATCTACATTTGTTATCCTGCATCCAGGACAAGTGGTGCCGAAGTAGAGATGTCTAACGTGGTATGTGAGTTTTGTCATTGGTGGATTCAGGAGATGGACACGAGCAAGGCAGTGCCAGGATCAAAGTCTGGTATTTTGTGTACGACGTTATGCAACGACACAACCAAGCATGATGTCGATAATCATGACAGCTCATGTAAAGCGATGACCACACTTCTTGAGCACAAGGGGATCGACCTCAGAAAGGACCAATTTCACGTCCTTCAGGTGGAGTGTTTCTGTAGTTGATTCGAGAGGTTATTGCAGTGTTGATTCCGTTTGTGTCTTATTGGCTGATAACAATCATTTGCAATGTTTAGAAGCCGTAAGTTAATGAAGTTAGAACTGACTCCTCACAAGTGTTGACGTTTGCAGGGCGAGTTGGAGCGGGTTGCGACGATGCAACCAAAGGCACAGTGGTCTCATGAGGAGGGTTTGTTGGAGTATCTTGAGAAGATGATTGGAACGAACAAGTACATTGACCAGATCAAGGAAAAATCCCAAAGGTATTATATCCTCACATAGGCATCCGTGGTGCATTTCACATGTTATCTTCCATCATTTGTTCATGCTGGTTATGTTTCTAGAGTGGGTACCACTGGCCTGCAGAAATGAACCACCCTGACCGAATCATATCAGCAGCATGTTCGCTCGCCTGGTGGCTGAATGCCTGTGTTCCTTTGTGCTCCGTCTCTCACGGCACCTGAATCAGACTCGTACAGCTTAGTCCTGTCTTCCAAGCCATGGATTTGAACAAACCGGCTTAACACAAGGCTGTGTGCTTCATTGTGCTATGCCTATCCGCTCCTCTGATCATCCACGCATCTGTTGGCCTACTTGTATGCCTAATTCTTGTTTGCTTGCCTCCTTCTTTGCTTGCCCCCTTGTTTGCTTGCCTCCTCGTCTGCGTGCCTCCTCGTCTGCGTGCCTCCTCGTCTGCTTGCCACCTTCTCTGCTTGCCTTTCTTCTTGCTGCCTGTATGCAGGCTGGAGGATCTGAATACGAAAAGGGTGGGCTTCACGGAACGAATGCAGTTAGCGGAGAGAGAAAAGGACCAGTTGGAGGTGAGTGCAGTATACGGCAAGCATTATAGGAGAAGCATAGACACTATGTGAGAAACATGAAAATTGCAATGCATGAGAAAGAAACACAGATGTCTCAACGCCCTTTTGTCACCAATTCCCTCAACCCTAACTTACACACGCTCCCCTCCCCAATCATATTCTTGTTGAACGAGGGCGAACGCAGTGAGAATGACATGGGCACATGATCCTTCCTGTCACCCACTTCCTCAACCAACCCCATCACTTGCATGCCCTGGGCTCCAGGAGCGAAAAAAAGCGGCTGAAGATTTTCTACTGAAGGAGGCTCAGCATACGCAGCTGAACATGGCGGCGGTGTATCTGCTGCTGCGGGAAATTGAGCACATGAGGAAAGGGTTCATCACTCAGGCCGCAGACCTCGAAAGGGTGATTGAGGAAGACAGTAGAGGAGCTGGTGTGCGGTAGAGGATTGGGTGGAAACCGGGTTGTGATGTACTTGTTGCTGCAGGAGAGTGTCCATTCAAAGAGGGAGCTCAGCAGAAAAAAATTGCAGAACTCAAACAGGTGCTTGAGGCAGAGAGGCGTGCCAGGGAGGTGGAGTTGTGAGGGTGCAAGAGGTTGAGGGGGGGACAAGAGGAACTGGCCAGGGTAGGTGGGTGGCGGTTGAGGAAGGCATGGAACAACAGGAGGGTGGGGGTTGGGTAAATGGGGGAACGAGGTGAGAGAAGGAGTTGGTGGTGGGTGGAGGTGTTACAGTGACGAGGCGTCTCTGTGTACCTTGGAAGTGGTAAAGTGTTGGCGCCTCATGGGAGGCGGAGGGGAAAGGAGGGATGGGGGGCTGCATGCCACTGTCGAGCAGGGAGTGGGAGGCAGGTGACTCTGAAATAGAGAAAAGCACTGACAACAAGTGTCATAGCTCCTCTACATATTCTGTCTTTATCCAATGTATGGTGAAAAGGTTTGGGTATTGCACAGAGGCTACAGCAGGCCATGAGAGCCCGAGGAAGTTCTCTATCGGACGTTGAGAGTCCGAGCCCACTGACTGTAGCACCATTGGATGCAGGAAAACGTTGTTCGTGCTTACAGAAGAGATGAAGTGCAAAGCAGTCGCATCTGAGAAACGCACAGAGGAGCTTAATGTGAGTCTGGGGGGCAGCGTTATGTTTTAGAAAAGGTGTGGAAACTTGGCCCAGAAGGAATATTTTGGATGAGACTTCCTTCTCTTCGGTTTGTCAGGCTTCACCCTTGGATTTCCCCTTGTGTGTGTTCCTAACGTTGCAAGCTTTCTTGTTAGGCCCTCTGCAAAGAGCTGCGGGCTGCTGCTGCAGAGAAAAATGCACTGGCAGCAAAGATTCCTGCCTGCAAGTCATTCAAGGTGGGTGACTGAACTATGCGGATGGAAGGTAGACGTGGAAGGTCTGGATGTGTTTGCATCTGGCAAGTAAGGCCAGCAGATGCGTGAGGACGATATTTCATGTATGAGGCTCATGTATGCTAAAAGCATATTCACGCACCATCCGATCACACACCACCTACTCACACAACAACCACTACCGTTCTTGTGCTCATTGTGTGTGCAGGAGAATAGGAAGCCCAAGAATAACAAGATCCTGAGCAACCTAAGGGAAGGCACGAGTAGCAGAGGCATGGATAGGAAGCAAAGCATCGGGAAGGAGATGAAAATGCCCCTGCAGATGCTGATAGTGAACGAAAACTGTAAAAGACTGACAAAGGTATGTTATGGGGTGAAAGGGGGAAGGTTATACACGGCTGTAAGGTGGCTTACAGCATTGAACAGCAGGAGCCGTTGAGCTGAGAGTGAAACGAGAGAGGCCTTGGGATGCGCTGCAAGGTTACCATGCATGCTCACACCTTGGTCCTTCCCTTCCTCCCTGTCACTTTCTCCATTCCTCCCAACTGCCTGTTTGTATGCCTGCTATGTCGTCTCATGATTTTCCTGCACTAGCAGGCAATGGGCTGCTCACAAATAGGGAACTGACTTTTGAAATCCACTTCTTTGTCCGACCCCCCCCATCCCCTTCCCCTGCTTGCACCTCTGCTGCAGCTAACGGATCGCAGACAGGGGGAGAGCCATGAAAGGATTAGGGAGTTGGAGAGCCATGAAAGGATTAGGGAGTTGGAGGCAGTTCAAAGCCAGTTTGAGAAGAACGAGTCTGGAGTGGTGAGGTGGGGGCAGGGGAGGTGAGATGGGCGCAGGGGAAGTGAGATGGGCATGCTTGAGGCCTTTGATAGGGAGTTGGGTAAGTATTTGATTTTCTGCAGAGCCGAATGTGAATCATCTTCATACACTGGGCTCTGCTACCTTTCCTCCCATACCGTTCACATTGTAAGCACACACTCCCATTCCGTGTGTCCTCACTCACCTTCCCCTTCTTTCCTGTTTCTGTGGTTGAATTGATGCTCGACTTGCGTTCCTTGTTTGGGCTGAAGGATGAGGAAGGGGGAAAGGCCAGCCCAATTGAGCATTACGAACTGCACAAAAGGGATTTGGCGTTATGCACTTGGCTTGTCTTTCTTTCTTTCCATTACACTGGAAACGATAATATCCTTTCCTCATACATGCCTCACTCTGACTTCTACTTTGTTTCCTCTTCACCCACATGCCTTCCCGTTCTTTCCCTGGACGCCACACAATCAGAAGAAGGCACTTGTGCAGCTTGAGGAGGTCAAGCACCGTCAGCGAGCATGTGCCAGCCACTCAGGCTGGGCAAGGGATGCGCTCAAGCGTTTGATGGTGCAACTGGCAAGTCAGATCTCACAGTGAGTCCGTAATCCCAACAACCTACCCTGTGCTTGTTACCCAGAGCAGTGCTCATCTTTCTCTGCCTTCCACTCGTAACATTTTTCCGCACTCCCATACTTGAGTGTCGAAGGTTAGGATCTTTGAAAGCTGACATCTGGCAAGCAATGTCCTAGACACGTAATCGGGTTTGAACATGGACAAGGCATCCTCCCCCTCACAGGTTTTTTCAGGTGTGCATCTCCTTCCCTTCTTTTCCCCCCACCCACCGACCCCCCTCCCTTTCTCCCCCCACACCTCCCCCCATCCCCTCCCCCCCCCCAACCCCCTTCCTCCCTTTCCCCCCCCTCCACTCCTCCCCTCCACCCTTTTGTTGCAGCATGTATGCTCAGCGCGTGTCAGACGAGGACATTCAAGAGGCAGGCCTTCCTCACACTTTTACCAACGAAGCTCTGGGCGAGTGGCGAGAGGAGTCAGGTTTTTGTCTTGAAGAAGGCGCTGAGGCTGGGGCTGCAAAGGGGAGTGAGATATCAGAGGGGGCTGAGGCTGCAGAGGGGAGTGCGACAGCAGCACACGTAGCCAAGGCTGTAGCAGAGGCAACCGAAGAAGAGATGCAGAGAGTGGAAAGGCTGGTAACCTGGCTGTGCGGTAACCGCATGAGTGCAGGAGCTAGCGACGATGAGATGCAGTCAAAGCAGGAATCCTCGGAAGAAGAGCTGAAGGTGCTTAAGGGAAACGTCAGCATGGGCTGCATTGACGAGTGAGTACGCGTGTCTTGCTGTGTGTGTTTGCGGGTGGGGTAATCATGGGTGTGAGTGAGTGAGTGATTGTGAATGTGAGTGTACGGTGGTTGTACTGCACAAGGGATGTGTGTGCATGAAACGAGGGAGAGATAGCAAGGGCTTCAAGATAAAGGCACTACTTTTCTGTTCTGAACTTTCTCAGGTACAACAACAAAGAGGACGTTTATTTCGAACGGTTCTTGGAAGCGGCAGAGGTGACCCTGGAGAGGAATGCTGTGAAGCAAGAGCACGAGGGGCTGATAAGGCGTCGGCAGGAAGAGTTCACAGCAGGCCTTGATGCAATCAGGACGCGTGTAAAGGAGATCTACCAGATCATGGCACCAGGTGGCGACACTGATCTGGCGCCTGTTGACCCGCTTGACCCGTTCAGTCAGGGCATTTGTTTCTCTGTGTGCCCGCCACAGCAGCAGTGCTCGAGGAGCGTTGCTGATCTTGATGGAGGAGAACAGGTGAGAACAGCCGTTTTTCTTTCTTCAATTCCCCCAACAATCCATCGTGCCTGATCCATTGAACAAAGCTCTCAGCGCTCTATTTGGAAATGCATCACTTAGCCCAATCCCCTCCACCTCACATTGTCATATCACACCACGCCTCAACACATCATGTCCCATCATGCCACATCACATCACATCACGTCACATCACATCACATCACATCACATCACATCACATCACATCACATCACATCACATCACTCCATCACAGGCGCTCCGCTGCGTTGGTGTTGGCAGTCCACCTGTGCAAGCCAGAGCTTGATGCTGCCATGGGTACGTTTTGAAACACCAACGGATGAGGTTTTGGTAGGTGGTGATGGGTACAGGTACAAGCATTGGTAGGTGCTAGTAGGTTCTGGTAGGTGCTGGTAGGTGCTGGGGTTCCTGGTACCAGTGGCTGTTCAGCATGATCCGTGTTGCAGACTGGCAGGGTACATTTTACCCTCCACATCTTACCCCATCTCTCCAACCTAAACCCCAACCCATTTCCTGCAGCTTTCAAGAACACACCCATCTTAGCTGAGTACATGCAATGGCATGCTACTATGCGCAGGATCACAGATGTGTCACCTAACCTGAACCCTAACCCGATTTCCCCTAACCCATGGACTCCATTCTATTTGAATATATGGAGTAACATGCCACAAGCACATGAGCACACAGGCATACCAGTCATCATCTTCACTGCTGGAACAGCCCGAGGATTGCTCTACAGTAGCTCTGGTAGAAGTAGCAGTGACACTCGATTACATGCAGCTTTGAAAAACAGGCGATCGTACTGGCTGAGTACCGTACACAGGGCAGTAGCATAGCAAGAACATTCACTCGGGTGCTGTACGCAGGGAATACGGTCGCAGTGGCATCAAGCACACTCTCATCCTTGTTGGAAACTGGAACACTTCTGGTGATAATTACTGACAAAGTGCCGTATAAGGGTGGGATGAGATGTTGTCTTGCGGAATATACAACATGATAGATACTGGTGCATGAAGTATGCTGGCAGAAGCTGCCAAGGAAAACGGGCGAGCGACCCACAGTTGTGTCCATAGCTATTCATTTGAGTGCGGCACAGCGTGGTCATGCGGTGAAGTAGAGGAAGCACAGGGGTTGCCGGAGAGGACGAGAGACCTGTCGTGGGATGGATAGTAATAAGTGAAGTGGATTGAACACAGGGAGAGACATGCAGAGACCAATAACAGGTGCAGAAGGGATGCCTGCAGATTGGATGGTGTGAATGGTGATGCAGTTTGAGGAGAGGAGGGTTGTGCACTGACCATCACTGCTGGGGATGAACTGTGCAAGTGAGAATCAGTCGTGGGGGTTGTGCAATGAATGTGTATGTTGAGGCATTTGCTCGTGCCCTTGATCAAGGGCTCACTCACTCATTTGATGTGTGGAAGGGGGGAGTGGAGTGGCAGTTGTGGGAGAGGTGCGCAATGCAATGTGTATGTGTACCATTACTCGCTCATGCTCTCTTCAAGCATCACCCAGTTGAGGTGTGGAACTCACTTGAGGTGTTGGAAGGGTGGACGTGCAGTGGAGGGTTGCAGAGGAGAGGCGGTTGTGGGAGAAACGTGCAATACAATGGGTGTGTAACATTCATTCCTGTCTTCAAGCATGACTCACGTGAGGTGTGGAAGAGTTGACGTGAGGTGGAGGGGCGCAGAGGAGAGGCGGTTGTGGGAGAGGTCGAGATGGCGGAGGGTGGTGAGGGAGGAGAGCGAGTCGGGGAGGGCTTCTAAGCTGCGAAGGGAGAGAGAGAGGGGAGAGGGGAGAAGAAGGGGGAAGGGGTGGTCAGATGGAAGCGGACGGCGGGAGAGACTGAGAGAGGAATCGGGGAAGGACGGGCGGGAGAGGAGGAGGAGAGGAGGATGCATGGAGAGAAGGATTGGGGGGTAAGGTAAAGAAAATGTGATGAAAGAGATGGTTGTGGGAAGCATGAGACAGGTGTGGTGTGGTATGGAGGTACATGGAGAGGGAAGCAGCCAAGGAAGTGCATACGTTGGGGATGGTAGAGAGGGATGAAAACAAGGAAGCTGATGGGCACAGGGATGATGGTGGTGGGCACAGGGTGCTACAGGGGTTGACATGAGTGGCATCTGGACCGCAATAGTGGCACCTGGACCGCAATAGTGGCACCTGGACCGCAATAGTGGCATCTGGACCGCATTAGTGACATCTGAACCACTTAACCAGGCACGGTTAGCGACTGCGCAGGCGCCTAGAAGGAGTTCTCACCCGTTGTGCGCGAGAGTGAGAGAGGTGAGGCGTGGCAAGCGTGAGAGGGCCACGCCCAAGCGACAAATGCAGGGCTCGGTCACCTGGGGGCGAGAGGGGAGAGGAGAGGAGGGGAGGAGGGGGGTTGTTTAAAACCTGGAAGGGGATGGCGGAGGAAAGGTGGGGAGGAGGAAAGAGGGGAAGGTTCAAGGCCTGCAGGCTCCCCAATCTTGCCATGTTGCCACATAGCCTAAACATATCCGTTTTGGTTTTACCGTTTCCGCATCAGAACAAAGGATTGTTTGATCGAGGTGAGACGCAGCAAGAGTAAGGACATTCCTGGGTGACTGATGGAAAAGAGAAGGGGGGAGGGGAGAGGAGCCGAGAGGAGAGGAGGGGAGGGGAGAGAAGGGGAGAGGAGAGGAGGGGAGGGGAGAGGAGGGGAGAGGAGAGGAGAGGAGAGGACGGGAGAGGAGAGGAGGGGAGAAGAGAGGAGACGAGGGAATGGGAGAAGAGGGGAGAGGAGGGGAGAGGACGGGAGGGAAAGGAGAGGAGGGGGGAGCAGAGAGGAGGGGCGAGGAGGGATGAGAGGAGCGCAGGCAGGAGCGGCAGGACAGAGACCAGGAGAAGATGCAGGGCTCGGTGACCTGGGGGGTGACGTGATGCGAGAGGAAAAGTGGGGCTTGCAGGAGAAAAGGAGAATCAGGGATGGGAGGGAGCAGGGCAGGAGGCTCTCAAAAGACAGACGCAGGGCTCGGTAAGCTGGGAGCGCGGATAGGGGAGGACAATACGGGGAGGGAGGGAGAGAGAAGAGGGGCAAGGAGAGGTGAAGGTTGAGAGAGAGAGGGGCTATAGTACTATACAAGGAGGGGAGGTAAGGGGCTATATACGCCATACGCCATGGCTGGCGTACTGCTGATACGCTAAAATACGCTGGGTGGGCACCTTGTCTCACCTTGTCTCTCACCTTGACTCTCACCTTATCTCTCACCTTGTCTCTCACCTTGTCTCTCACCTTGTCTCTCACCTTGTCTCTCACCTTGTCTCTCACCTTGTCTCTCACCTTGTCTCTCACCTTGTCTCTCACCAGCCTCCCCTTGGGGCACATGTGGTTGGTGCATCGCATTTCGTCACCACCCCTCCACCAAATGACCCTTCCACCCCACCTTGCGGCACCTCGCCCCACCTCGCCCCACCTCGCCCCTCCTCACCCCACCTCGCCCCGCCACCTCGCCCCGCCACCTCGCCCCGCCACCTCGCCCCGCCTTGTCCCTCACTTTTGAGTCGACTCAAAAGTCACCTCGCCCCGCCTCACCTTGGGGCACATGAGGTTGGTGCATTGCAGATCGTCACTGGCAGTCAAGTCCAGATGCTGCCGGCATGGCATGCCACGTGGCAGCAGGTATGGGGGGAAGGGTGATGGAAAGTTAGCATGAGAGAAGGAAGGGTGGAGACAAAATAGGGAGGAGTGGGGAACGAGTGAGTGCAGCGTAGAGGAGAGGCGAACAAGGGAGTGAGAGCACAGGGAGCAACGGGAAGAAACAGAGAAGCGTGGGAAGAGGAGATAATGCAGGAAGGAGGGCAGGAGAGATAGGAGAGGGAGGTGGGGGGGAATGGGAGGTGGGGGGGAGTGGGAGGTGGGGAGGGAGGGGAGGGAATGGCGGGGGAGGGGGGAGGGGAAGGATCCATGGATGGGAAAAGACATGGCAAGAAAAGCTTGTCATCACGGGCACCCCGTCATTAGGCAAAAACTCTGAAGCATTGGTCCCAAAACCATCTTCACGCACCCTTCTCATTGTTCCCCTCTCACTTCCCCCCTCTCAAATCCTCCCCTCACTCCTCCCCCCTTCACTCCTCCCTCTCCTTCTCCCCTCTCACTTCTCCCCTCTCACTTCTCCCCTCTCCCTTCTCCCCTCTCACTTCTCCCCTCTCACTGCTCCACTGCTCCCCACACAGCTCCCCTCATCGCCACACATTACAGCCACACATGCCACAGCCACGCGTTACTCGGTACCAACCTTCCACCTCCCGCGGCCACTCACCTCAACAGTCGCCGAATTTCGCAGGGCAACAGACAACGAGTTCGCCCGTTTCGCCACTTCGCCATCTCTTCGCCAACCAGCGCCTTCGTCGCCCCGCGAGTCACAACGACCATCCATGCTCGCCGCGCCCTCTGGCGCCATCGTGGACGCATCAACCGGCCGCATCGAAATGCCAGATGCCGCGCCGCCAGGTGCCGCCATCGTGGACGCCTCGAGCGGCCGCATCGAAACAATCGACGCCGAATCACCCACCGGGGTCATCGAATCGAGATCTCTAAAGAGCGAGACCGAGTCTGAAACGCGATTCCCGTACTCGCCACTCGCCGATGGCCACGGATTTCTCTCCCGCTGATCGATATCGCCGCTCGACGCACCCGCGTTCTCATCCCCCCTCGCGTCCCCCCTCGCTTCCCCCCCCGCGTTCCCCCTCTCATCCGTTGCTTGCGCGCATACCGCCTCGTCCGCGCGGAATCCGCGTGGTGCTCCGCTCCGCGTGGCCGCCGAATCGCTTCCCAGAGCTCGACTGATCGCGCACCGCTGCAGCTGGTACACGGTGAGAGGGTGGCAGAAGAAACGGGAGTGGAACGACATTTTTGAAATATGCAGGCAGAGAAGTAAAAGACTTTTGCTGTTATAATAGATTGGGATAATATTGTTTTCATATCTGCAACAGGCCTATTAGCTCAGCTGGTTAGAGCGTCGTGCTAATAACGCGAAGGTCACAGGTTCGAGACCTGTATGGGCCAAGTTTTGCCACTTGACAACTGCTTCTTCAAGAAGACAATGGCATCTCGCACTGTTTTAGCACATTCATCTTGGCCGAGTCGGCATACGCCCTGGGACTAGCCCGAACCTCAATGCCAGCATCACACTAGCTAGCTCATACTTTGTACTCGTTTGACACCTTAGTGCAATCCTCGCTACCTAGATCCATTGCACCCGTAACACTTGGTCAGGGTCTTATACCCGGCACTATACGGGTATAAGAGCACTTAGGAATTTGTTCGGGTTGAGACTTGCATGCAATAGCCAATAGACACAAGTAGACAAGGGAATCTACCGTACAACCTCAGCTGGCAAATGCAAACGCATTAAAGGTGCTGAAAGGTTTTGGTAAGACCATGTGTGAGCTGAGAGAGCAAGGCACATCTGTGTTCATTGACAGATGCTGGAGTGCTGCAAAGTGAATGGCATGACAGTCAGCCAAGATGGGTGCTGGAGAACGGAATCAACAAACCGAGACATTCATTGAGAGAGCCGCTGGCTTGGCACATGCATTTACAGCAATGCGAATAGTCGCTGGCTACCAGTCATGTTAATGCGTGAAAGAAGCGAGTAGCCGCACCGCACCCATGGTGCGAGTCAGGACGGGAATGCCAGCGACCTGCCAAACTGCGCAGCAGGAGGTTTGATGCTAAAGCAGCCCAGGATGGTTGTGAAGCAACGGTTTGTCATCCTCATCACTGTCGTCATCACCATTGTCATCAACACTGCTGTGGTCATCCCTATCAGTTGTCATCACATGCCATCTTGTGACCACTGTCAATTGTCAAGCACCAGAATCTCCGCGTCTTGCCCTCTGCAGACACACACAACAGCAGCGGCAGCAGCAGCAGCAGCAGCAGCGCAAGGGACAGGCAAGAGAGTAAGCAGGGGAGAAGGGATGAGAGCACAGCAGCAGCAGAGCACACAGCTCCTGCCACACAGGCTTGAGCAACTTGCCATTGGACACATTACCCAACCCTGCCCCCTGCCCACTACTTACAAAACATAAACCACCAGGCCTCTCCACTCTCTCTCTCGGGGACTCACAATGTGTGTGTGCGGATAAGCAGGTCTCCCTCTCTGCGCCGGGCCACCCCCTCCCGTTGTTCCATGCTCCTGCTCGGCTGCGTCTTGCCTCGCCGCAACACCCGCCCACTGCCTGCTTCCCCTGCGCTGCTCCCTTCTCTTCTGCTGCCCCCAACCCTCACTGCTGGTGCCACTGCCCGGTGCCGTGCCCTCATCCCCCTCTCCTGCCGCGACTCTGTGCGGGACCGTCGCATGGGAGGTGGCACAGGAGCCAGTCCCGCATCATGTTTCACACATGTACCCATCAGCTCTCTCTCTTCCCTCTCATCTCGCTGCTCTCGCGCCCGTCTCTCCTGTCTCGTGTCAGTCCTTGATCGTCGCATGGGAGGCGTCACTACTGCTTCCACTCCCACATCTTGTTTCACGCACCCACCCATTTGCTCCTGCTCTTCCCGCTGCTCCCGCGCCCGCCTCTCCTGCCGTGTATCTGTGCGGGATCGTCGCATGGGAGGAGGTACAGGTGCTGGTGATGTGACTGCATGCTCTCTCATCTGCTCCCTCCCTCTCACATCCGGCATCGCTTCTGGACTCAACCCCACTCCCATGCTCAAGCTTCTTCCCATCCCTCCTCTACCCCCCACACTAGGCCCAATGCTCACCACCCCTCTTTCCAACTCCAAACACATCTCCACTCCATCCAATCCCATCCCCACCCCACCAGCACCCATCCCAACCGCTTTCTCACAGAGCTCCTCCAGCCTCCTCGACACCCCCCTTCCGGGCATCTTCACCATCCAAGCCCCCCCCTCCTCCCACTCGCCCTCTCTCACTCGCACCTCCCTCACTCCCCTCTCACCAGCCACTGCCAACATCTCTACCTCCTCCTCCTCTCTCCTCCTCCTCTCCCTCTCCAGCTGCTGCTCCAGCTCCCTCAGACTCGCCTCCTCCTTTTGAGCTGCCACGTCAGCGTAGTGCCGGTAGTTGCTGAAGGGCGGGTGGTATACCACCGCGCTCGCTTTGAGGCCCCCTGCGCTCTTCCTTCCTCCTATCCCTGCCGCTTTTGCTGCTCCTTCCAAACCTGCTCTACCAGCGGCGCCATCGGCAGTAGCAGTGGCAGCAGCACCAACGGCACCGCAGTTGGCAGCAACTGCAGCAGCGGCGGCAGCAGGGCAGCGGGTGCTGAATCGCTTCCCACCAGCCAGCAAGATGGGCTGCGGGTGCAGGAGCGTTGGGGCGGCAGAATTAGCACCACTCAGAGGCCTAGGCTTGGCCAAGGCTGAAGCCGAAGCTGAGAAAGAGAGCGAGAGCAAGGGGCGAGGGACGAGGGACGGGGGCGAAGGGAGAGGGACGAGGGACGCTGGTGGAGGCGACAAAGGGAGTGGGGGAGAGGGGCGAGAGGTGGAGGAGGAGGGCGAGGCGCAGCTGTGGGAGCTGTTGCTGCTGTTGTTGTTGTTCTTGTTGCTGCTGCTGCTGCCAGCAGTGGCCAGGCTAGTCTTTGTGTTGCCTCCAGGGTGGTAGGTTACGCTATGGGCAATGCGCTTGGGCTGGGTGCCACTGACGCCTCCTCCTGCCCCACTGCTGCCAGTGCTGCTGCTCTTGTGGAAAACCACCGCTGCTCGCCCGCGCTCCTCCCGCGCTCCCGTGTCAGCCTGCCTCCCTCTCTCAAGTTGACTCGCCTCCACCGCCGCAAGCGAGGCAGCAGCGGATTGCTGCCTTCTCAGGCCCGGGGATGGTGGGAGGCGGGATGATGACGCGCGCAAGGGGAGAGCCGGCGGGGATATCGAGAGAAAAGTGCGCCTTGCCGTGCGTGTGTCATCGTCAGGGCTCTGGGGGGTGGGTGGGGGTCCCACCGGTCGCGACCGCCCTTGCCGATTCACCGCGCTGCTCTCCCTGCTGCTTGTGCTCTTCCGCCTGCCGCCCTGCCCGCTGCTGGCGGCCTTATCGGCTCCACCGAACTGCCACCACGCAGCCACGTGCTGGGCCTTTCCCGCCGCTGCTGACGTCACCACCGCGTCATGACCCTGGCGTTCCCTCTCGCCTTCCTCCGTCTCATGGCTCTCATGCACAGCTTCAAAGGCTACTGCGCATGCTGCTCCGGGGGCAGCAGCTGCGGGCACGGGGTACTCGGTGGGGTCAAACGCGCGCACGCGGTTGCTTCCCCGCACGCCCTCGCAGCGCAGCAGCACAGGCCGCCCGCACTCCCTGCTGCTCCTGCTGTCGCTACCACTCTCACTGTCTTCGCCTCTCCTGCCTGCCTGCGCGTAGAACGCCTCCTCTGCAGCGCGGGCAACATCGGCCCTGCTGCTGGCTTGGCGGACGGCATGGGGCAGCGCAGTGTAAGGGACTGCTGCACGTGCGGGGGGCGATGCGGATAGAACGGCGCTGCTTTCATCCTCGCTATGGTGCTCCTCGATATCCGCGTCCAGGTCCCACCAGTCAATTCCCGCCTCCCCTTCGCTGCTTGTATCGTGCCAGCTGTTGTTTCCCTCGTCACAGCCCCCGTACGCGTAACAAGCGCGCCCGCTTGCTCCTAACGAGTCATCATCATCGTCATGCAATCCCCAGCTACCGTCGCCACCGCTGCAGTCGTTCTTTCGTTCGTGTTGCTCCCTTATTAAGCCGCCATTTCCCTTTTCCTCTCTCGTGAGTTGCCGTCTTTCCTTTTGAGAGTCCTTAGGACACGAATCAAGGCTCGCTGGTCTTTCCTTTTGGGTGGCCTCAAGGCTCGCCCGCCTTTCCTTCTCCGCCAGATATTTTTCCATCTCTCTCCGCCATTCGTCCACGTCAGCAATGTCACTCTGCGTGTTGCTTCGATCCAACGACCGCTGCTGCCAACCATGCGCCTTTCCTCTTGCACCCTCCGTCGATCCTTCTGCCAATCCTTCTGCCACCCACATCCCAGAACTGCCGCTCTCCGCTGCGCCTGCTGTTCTCGCGCGCGGCAATCCACGCCCCCCCTGATCCCCGCCGCCTTCCGCCGCCGGCGCGCGCACCAGCTCGTACACGAACACGCTCCGCTTGCCCTTCCCCCGCCGCTGCTTCTTGCGGAACACACCACCTCTGGCCCGCCCTGAATCCGCGGGCGGCCTCCCCCCTTTCACGATTAGCACGTCGCGCGCGCGCCGCTCGCCGCCACCGCCTTCGCTGCGCGCCGATGGGTACAGCGTCGTCCGTGCCGGCACCGCTTTATCCCCGTCGTCGCTCAACGCGCTGCTGCTGCCGCCGCCGCGGATGTCAATTGCCGACGGCGGCGCCGCGCGGCGTCCGGTTGCTGTCACCACCGTCGCATCCTCAGACGGCTTGCCGGTCCGGCTTTCGGCTGCCGCGCCTCCCGCTCCTTCCGCTTCTCCCACTCCGCCGCCCGTTCCTGCTACTCCCGCCGCGGCGTCCCAAAACCAGCGCGCAATCCCCATCGGCGCTGTGCGCGGCCTCGACCTTGCACGGCTGTGCGACGGAAGCGGTTTATTCGCGCGGTTGCGGTGTGGCGGCGACACGTGGTTACCATGTAACTTGGAATTCGCTAACGCGACGTTGTTTGAGTCGAAAGCTTCGTTACAATGTAACGACTCCCCAGCGGGGTCTGGGATGACCAGCGATGGTCGTGCGCGCAGGCGACTTTTGGCGGAGGCGTCTGTTTGAACAACTGCTACTTCTGTAGTCTTCGTGCCTTTCGAATTTGCCCGCGCCGCCGCTGGTCGCTCCGACGAAGCGGCGACGGCTTGCGTTTTCTCGTCCGCGCCGTCTCCGCCACCGCTGCCGGCGCCATTAGATTTGCGCTTCGAGTTGTTGCGGGTCGCGTTCCCCATCGGAGCAGGGCGGATCTCGGTACCGCTGGAGAAGTACCGCCGCGCGACGTCGTTGCTAGTAGGCGATGGCACTACAACGAGGGGAACGGAGACGGAGACGGAGACGGGGGGAAGTTCGCGATGTGGGCGTTCGTCGTTCCGCCCCGCCTGTGCGCATTCCGATGCCCAGAACGACAATTCGTGCGACGCGTTGTCGCGCCGACCGTTGCACGAGACGTCGTTGGCTCGTCGCTCGATGTGTCGCACGTGGCATCGTAACGAGTCGTTACGGGAACCGCCGTCGCTGGTGGGCGAACAACAGACGGGGAATGCTGCGACGCAAGCGGCTGCGGGGCTTGTGATTGGCCGCGTGAAGACCGGCAGGGACGAGAGGGAAGGGATTTTTGGAACGCTCCGCGTAGTTGGCGTTGCTGGCGAAAAGCTTTCATCGAGAGATACATCGTCGCCAAAATCGATGAAATCGCCGGCGAAGTTGTGCGGAGAGAAGCAGGCTAGCGGCGAAAACATGGCTGCGACACTGGGAGCCGCGCAATTCGCGAACGGGGAGGGAAGCGACCTTTCAAAGGAAAAGTTGCAAAACCTAACAAGGCTGTCTGACCGTCAGGGTCGAGAGTGTCACGCTAATTACAAAGCATTCTGACGATGCTGTGTTCGAATGGAGGTTCTACCAACAGTCAACACACTCGCCGGTGACGATTAGAAAGTCCCAAGTGCAGGGAGCGAAGAGAACGACAGCGAGAATGGAGGGCCGCGACTTGTGGAGGCAGTGCTGACTGTCCTTGTTTCCCTCTCACCTCCACCTCCGTCTCTTGGCTCCACCTCGCCGTGACATCAAACAGGCACCCCTATTGAGATTTCTATGATTGCTCGTACTATTTCGTCGTGACTCGTGGTGACTCCTCATTGCATAGGATCGCTGAATCGCTGGTCCAAGTGACGGGTAGATTCGCGAACTCTCTACTGTACATTCCGCGCCGCTTCAAAATAGTGGGTTGCGCTGGCGTCAGAATGGAGTAATGCGTCGAATGTCTCCAAAAAAAGGACACGGCAATGAGACGAAGATTGGTGAGATAAAGCCAATGGGATTGAGGACCACGCGACTCGGATCAGGGCTCCAGGTCCAGACAGTCCCCCTCAGCTTGGATGTTCGAGAGTTGTCTCGCTGACACAAGCGGGTGAGAATGGTGCTGTTAGGAAAGGGCGGAGAGGGATTTGGGTGGCTGGGAGTCACGCACGGTTTGGTACTTCACACAGCAGCTGGGCACGGTGCAGTGTCGCATTTCTGTTGTTTCATACTGGGCTGGGGGAGAGGGAGTGAAGGACCATCAGAGAAGGGTCCCCCTTATCATGTGGGGCAATTTCTGAAGCTAGGATGGCCCGAGCTGTTTCTATCAATCCCACCCAACCCACCCCACCCAGAATGGCTCCTTCTTTTCCAAGGAAAGGTGAGGTGAGGAATCTCCTCGCCTCGCCTAATAGATTGGATTTTTCAAACCGTCCCGTATTGGATCCTTCAGGCATGTACTGCAGATCTGTTGGCTGTCTTGTAGAATAAATTCAATCTGTCCATCTGATACTGTACCGAACCTCCCCAAAACCTCCTTCCGATTTTTGGTGGTGGACAGAATCCTCGCACATCAGCGTGCAATTGACAGCTCCCTCCCTTCCCTCTGCAAGCAACCACCAACCAGCGCAAGGAACGGGGAATGCTTAAAACCGGGGTGCACATTCAGCTGAATGTGCATCAAAGGTTATCCCTTGACTGAGTGGGTTACGAGGTGTGCTTTCAACCCCTTCAAGTCGAAATTCGTTTCCCCCCTCCCCCGCAATTTCGTTTCCCCACGCCCCCGCAATTTCATTTCCCCCTCCCCGTCGAAATTCGTTTCCCCCCTCCCCCGCAATTTTTTTTCCCCCCTCCCCCGCAATTTCGTTTCCCCCCCCTCCCGCCAATCTGTTTCATCCCTCCCGCCATTCGGTTTCACCCACTCCCGCCATTTCACCCCCTCCCGCCACCTACGAAATGCCCGAAGCTCTAGCGGAATCATTTTTTTGTCGCCCCTCGTGAGCCAATCACTGTTTTTCTCCAAACCCCCTTCCCAACATCTCAAGCCGAACCGCGTTGAATGTGCACCCTGGTTTTAAGAGCCAGGCTGGAACGCGCAGTTTGGGTCTACACTGTGAGGATTTGAGCAAGGCCTTGTGTATCGCAACGGCAGCATTCCCATATTCGCTTCGCACACGGCAAGGGCGGTGCCAGGTTAGTTTAGGGCGGGTCACGGTTTTACGTACCTGGTTCGTTCAATGCGGTCCAGTACGTTAGAAACAGGCTGAAGACGATTCTGAGTTTTCACCTACGCGAACCTTTTGTTTAGCTTGTTTAAAGAGGAAATGACGGACCTCCTTTCAGCAGTGGCTTTGACAGCGACTCCCTCCGCGCTCGCGCCCGATTTCCGCAGGCAGTTTATATTTCTATTTCCCATTTTTTGTTACCAAACGTATAGAAGGGCAAATACTAAGTCTACCTGGTTTCAGTATAGAGGCCAGTGGCAAAACTAAAACCTACTAGGATGACAAGCCATTTGGGATGCATCTGTCAAACATATATGATATAGCCTGTGTAGGCTGTAGTGGGGTAGACACTATGGGGTACAGCTTTTCTAGGTTTTCATACTTGTACTCATCTCCTTTCTAGTCCACACCATTCCTCGTACTATTTTCACATGGTATAGAGCGGGTTCCCTAGTGGGACCGTTTTTTTAGGGCCCACCACTTATTTTGTTTTTCCTGCCCTGCCCGAAGCGCGCTCCTGCCCCTGTCGCGCGCCTCGCGCCTGCCTTACCTGCGCCCCGTGCGCCTACCCTGCCGTCGCGGCCCCTGCTGTCGCGGCCCTGTTTGAAGCCATCGCGGCCCTGCCCTGCCGTCGCGGCCCTGCCGCCCTGCCGTCGCGGCCCTGCCGCCCTGCCGTCGCGGCCCTCCATGCGGCTGTCGCGGCCCTACCTGCCGTCGCGGCCCTGCCGCCCTGCCGTCGCGGCCCTGCCGCCCTGCAGTCGCGGCCCTGCCGCCCTGCCGTCGCGGCCCTCCCTGACGCCGTCGCGGCCCCACCCTGCCGTCGCGGCCCGGCCGCCCTGCCGTCGCGGCCCTGCCGCCCTGCCGTCGCGGCCCTCCCTGAAGCCGTTGCAGCCCTGCCCTCCCGTCGCGGCCCTGCCGCCCTGCTGTCGCGGCCCTGCCTGAAGCCGTCGCGGCCCTGCCTGCTGCCGCCGCGGCCCGTCCTACGGCCGCCGTCGCGGCCCTGCCTACCGCCACGGTTGCGGCCCTACCTACAGCCGCTGTTGCGGCCCTGCCTCGTCGCGGCCCTGCCTGACACGGCCCTGACCTGTCGGCGCGCCACGGCCCTGCCCTTCCATTTGCGGCCCTACCCTGATCCCGCCCTGGTAAGCGCACCGCCGCACCCGCGCCGCCCTGCCAAGCCGCGCAGCCTTACCGAGCCGCGCCGCCCTACCAAGCCGCGCTGCCGTGCCGAGTCACGCTGCTCTTGCTGCTGCTGCTACTGCTACTGCTACTGCTGTCATGGCTACCCCTAATGTACTTACCTTCGATGCTGAGGGTCGGGCAGTTGATTTCGAGGTCTGGGTCGATGATCTGCAGCTGTTTCTGCAGTGCGATTCTAGGGACGGAGTCTCACTGTTCGATCTCACATCCGGCGTCTCTGTTGCACCTGCTGCCGATGCTGACAGTACTGTTCGCTCGCAGTGGACCACGCGCGATGCTGCTGCCCGTCTTACTGTTCGTAGTCACCTGCCGTCTGCTAAGCGCGCGCACTTTAGCCAGTACAAGACCGCTAGGACTCTGTACGACGCTGTTGTTGCGCGCTACTCCTCCCCTGCCACTGCTGCCCTTAGCCGCCTCATGCTGCCGTACCTGTTCCCTGACCTAGCTGCTTTTGCCACGGTCGCTGACCTCATTACGCACCTCCGCAATAGTGACACCCGCTACCGCGCTGCGCTTCCTGCCGAGTTCTGCGCCAAGAACCCCCCCCCTATGTACATCACTCTCTACTACCTCGTCACCCGGCTCCCTGACTCCCTTCGCTCGGTCAGGGACCACTTTCACTCCCTTTGCCCCACCACGCTCACCGTTGACCTCCTCGAGGAGCGCCTCCTTGCAGCTGAGAAGAGTATAGTCGCTGTAGGAGCCTCTCGTGGTGACCCTCGTGCCCCTTTCTTTGAGGGGTGCTCCCCCATTCCCCTTTTGCCTTCTGTTGCCTCTGCTGCTGCTGTCGACCTCGTTGGCACCGAGTCGGTCGGCGCTGCGTCTGCTCCTAGTGGGAGGCGCCGCAGCGGTAGGAGCAAGGGGGGCAAGGGTGCTGGAGGGGATGGCGGGGGCGGCGGTGGTGGCGGTGGTGGCGGTGGAGGGGGTGGGGGTGGAGGTGGGGGTGGTGGCGGGAGTGGGGGCTTCGGTGGCGGTGGTGGAGGTGGAGGCGGCGGAGGCAGCGGCAGTGGGGGTGGAGGTGGCGGCGGTGGCGGCGGCGGTGGGGGTGGCGGCGGCGGTGGTGCTGGTCGCAGTGGTGTTGTGCATCGGGGAGGCTTTGGCGGTGGCCAGCGCCAGCA